TCATAGGATACTGAGATGTCCAGGTGAATCAAAATAGCTGCTCACGGATGACTGATTACGATAACTATATTTTCTGTACATTTTCGATGTATTACATTTTTTCACTATGAATGTGGTAATACATGTTTTATTGTTTTATTACAAACCGCCCATGTCATGTCATGTCAGAAGGTCGTAGCATCAGTCTCGCTATCTACGAGAAGAGACTTGAATGGGATCTTGACATGATGTCACCATACAGTACTATGCGCATTGCAAACCCCAAGTAATGTACCTCTGATGGAATTTATTTTCACTGATTTTTGATAAGTTTAATGTGAAATATTGGAAAAAAAATATATTCGCTGGATTTTATTTTCACGGAATCATCCCTTCTGCGAAAATAGTGAAAATAAAGTCCAAGCGAAAATAAAGTATTCTACAGTAGTCTGTAGAGAGAAAAAAGCAATATGCATAACCCTCTGAAGGCCAAAATGGTCAACCATAACCGAATCTATGAAAACTTTCAGCTAATCACTGCAATTTCTGACCTGGATATCTTGTAATTGTGAGCACAAAATTATTATTGTGTATGGCTTATCCCTAAACATCTACATGTGTATGTACCAAGTTTTATTGAATTTAATGAGTGATTGAGATATTGGTGGAAAAGTTAAATAATTGCTTATTTATATGCAAATTAGGTCATTTATATACACAGTTTAGGCAAAAACTAATCAATTTGCACATTATTCAATTCATTCAAAACTGTTTAATGGTACTTGAGAAACAAGTGAAAATGCTTAATATTGGCTAGTTAATAGACAAATTAGGTAATTAATATGCAAGGGATTTCAACCAAAGCTAATCAGTACTGTGTATTTCCCTGTAATATTTCAAATCTATGGCGAATTAATATTATTATTATAGATCTTTCACTGTAAACACTGTAAACACGGGAGTATTTAAGGAAATGCAAATTCCAATATGGAATGATTACGTGTGTAATCGTCTTCTAATAATAAAAACAAACATGGCTGCCACATGGAGTTGACTGGACTCCACATAAAGAAGTTCGCTGATTCTGTTCTAAACTTTTTGGATTTCGGCATGATGTATCCTTGGAAGGAAAAGATGTATAATAATAAGGTTATTATGAGGATACCTCAATGTATGCACAAAGACAGTACAGTGGGAGTATCGTTTAAGTGCCACGTCCTGTTTGAGTGCATACTTTGAGGTATCCTCGTAATAACCTTAATATTATACATCTTTTTCTATCATTATTATCCCAGAACATCTATATACCAAGTTTCATTGAAATCTGTTCAATAGTACATGAGAAACAATTGAAAATGCTTAAATTTGGTTAATTAATAAGCTAATTAGTTTGTAACAACTCTTGATTGACAATTGTTAGTTGTATATTCCCTGCAAGCAAACATTTTTATTTTGCATATTAGCATACTAGTATGAGGGTAATTTACTGAATTTTGATTAAGTGCTCATAGATTGAAATAGAATTTTACCTTTTATGGCGCCCTCTATAGTCAAGAAAAAAAATCTAATACTTTCATAGATTTTCCTCAAATACACAATTGCCACAGGTTTAACATACTTTCTTCCAAAATTTGCTCAGAATTATCATGAATTTTTTTTAATAATGTAGAAATTCTATCAATTGTCCCTATTTTTGTCAACTGTCTGTCCCTATATAAATATTTATATTATAATTATTTATGAATTTCTATACAAATTTGTCATTCAAGTATCTAAGCAAACTGTTTATCCCGTTTATTTCTAGTTTATTTCTGTTGAATCGGTGTAACAGTAAAACAGTTTAATTAATCATTTAGTATACATAGAAATTACAATGATGAGTTGGTGTGTTTTTTTGTTAGTTATTCTATGTGATAAAAACACACCTGCATCGGGATACTGGTAAGCAGCTTCACTCGTCCATGGCCCAGCTTTCACATAGCCCCGTTTCTCCAATGTAAAAACAAAGCTACCATCTCCAATAACTGGTCTACCAGATTTCAATCGTTCTAATAAACCAACTCGCTAAAAATATGTAAGAAGATTAAATGATGTTAAATATGAACAATGTTATCCAGGTCTATTTGATGCATTGATGCATTGATGCATATTAAATTTTTAGGTCACAGTAGACTCGACCCTAGAAATATGAAAACAAATATTCCTATCTATTTTAGATTGATTATATTCACTGTGGCTTATCAGGTCACCTCTGCATGATTGCATGAGTAAATCAACAAGAGGAATTCTTCAAAGGTTTAGTCTCTTAAAGATTGGACGTTTATACAACAATCCCTGGGTAAATCTCAATAGAAAAATGAATCAATAAACTCAAACAAGTTAGGAATAATAATTTATCAAAACTTGGAAGAGACAATGTAGTTTTTTATGACAATTGTAATTAGTAAAAAACAAAAATTACTGTCACTGTGATATACAGTGTGTATATATATTCTTGTTATTGTGTTTTTTTTGTGTGTGATTATTGTCCATGGTTAATGTACTTCCAATTAATTAATTTGAGTCAAATAAAATATACTATACTATATATACCACAGGGAACCCAGGAACTATATATAATCAACTGTATTACGCAGTCTCTATGAGCGGGGGGGGGGG